GTGTGTGTGTGTGTGTGTGTGTGTGTGTGTGTGTGTGTTACTGTCAGTATGAGCTTGTCTAGATGTTCATCGATCTGATCATTGAAATGACATTAATAACATGTTGTCACACAGCTGGATTACTCAACATTATTTCGGATGTCTGATATCTTTAAAAGAAAATGAATGCATCACAGAGGTCACCCTCCGTGACCTTTCATTTCTAAACAGGACAACTTTTTGGAATTTGGGTGACGACATTTTTAGCTTTCCGTACATAATTTAGACAATTAAGAAAAACAGATTTTTGGGGGCAGATACCGAAATTTATTCGATACCAATATATTGGCCGATAAAATAAAATAAATTGTCAATGATTCCTTAGTTTTGGTTATGAAACAGAATGACAGAGTGAGCTGAGGCTTCATATTTCACATTTTACCCAAAACTTTAATGTAGATGAAAAGAAAAATATACAGAACTTGACTTTAACACGTTTTTTATAAACGTAAATATAAAAACATCTCTATAGAGTTTAAAAAATAAGTTTTTCATGTCAGCAAACACAAACAGACACCGATGTGTCTGTGAAAGGTTCAGTCGACCAACAGATACATCAGTCGGGCTTTATAGTAAAGAGTTAACTAAGCTACGATACAAACTATACCTTCAAATTTATATCACTCATTCTTCTGTGGTAATGTTGCTGTTTCTTTTATTTTCACAACTTGTAAATAAAGCTTAATACTGTATACTGTGTATACTTTAACTCACATTCATGTACAAATGTAAATCTATACATACCCGTTTTTTTATTTCTACACATGTTTATCTTTTATTTCATTTTTAGTCTTACTTTATTTTATAATGTTTATACCTGCTTTTTGCTCTTTCACCTCTTTCTCAGGAGCTCTGTGACATTTGAATTTCCCTACAGGGATTAATAAAGTATTTCTGATTCTGATTTCTGATTTTCTTTTTATTGGCTCTCGCTCATGTGGCGGCTGAATGAGGCCACAGCTGTGTCTCAGGGATTTTCCCACCGTGTCACGCTGAAGTCCTGTCCTCTTTTTCTTGGTGGATGAATTCAAACCATCAGCAGCAGCAAATAAGAATTAAGAGTTGAACGTGCGTCTTCTTCACTTTGTTGAACTTATTTAACATTTTGCACTTTGTCTTTCTCTCTGCAGTACTGGCACAAAGGTTGCTTCAGCTGTGAGGTGTGCAAGATGGCCCTGAGCATGAACAACTATAAAGGATTTGAGAAGAAACCTTACTGCAGTATGTGAGTGTTGACTCCGCACCGACCATCTGGTTATTAAGATCACCGAACACCAGAGTTAACGGGAAATCATATACGACTTTAACACCACGAGGGAAAATAATAAAACCGTGACCGCAAAGTTAGAATACGTAGTTTTATAAATCTTATTTGTTGGTTTTGGGAAAAGTTCTCGTGACCTCATAACTGCTGGTTGCAGCAGAAGTTGTGATTGTTTGTGAGGTTTTGGTCACGACAATCTGACACGACAATCTGACACGACAATCTGACACGACAATCTGACACGACAATCTGACACGACACGGGCAGACGTCAGTTTCTGGGCAGTGGAAGACGTGATGGAAAAGAGGAAGTGTGAACAGACAGGCTGAAACATGTGATCCGACAAGTCGTCCGTGTAACCTCTGACCTTTCAGATATCTACAGCTTTTATTGTGTTTCCTCTCGTTCTTATGGATGAGTCGTTGTTGTCGTATTCCAGATATTAAAAAGTCAGAATCGGCTCCAGGCGGTTGAAGAGTGAAACTGAGGATCAGTTAAAAGAGTCAGAAGTTATTAAAAAGAGTTCATCTCTAATATTCTGCAGGAAATTTTTAAAATATGAAGAATTCTAAACAGAGTTTGGTGGATTTGTTGTTTTTCTGCTTCAGGAAGCTGGGCATCATGGGTAATATCCACTGATTCAACCACTTCATCTCTCAGACACACATGAATTCATCACCACATGTGGCTGCAGGGGGCGCTGCTGCTCAGTAAAAGTTGCATAGTGCTGCTTTAAATCCACCGACCGCTCGTGGTGTTGAGGTTGTTTAACATCAACACCAACATGTTGTGGAGGCGATGGAGACGTTTAATTAATCGTGTCCACTGTCCTTCTCTTCGGTTTCAGGCATTACCCCAAAACCTCCTTCACTATAGTGGCCGACACCCCCGAGAATCTGCGTCTGAAACAACAGACCATGCTGAACAGCCAGGTGAGACCCTCGGACATCAGTCCCGTCTCTGTTTCCTCTCACCGCCACAGATGCTCGTCCTAATCTGATTGCATCACCAAGAGTCTTTCTCTCAATCTGTCCCACAGCAGGAAGTGAGGACGCAGTTCTTGGCTCTGCGCTCGTGACAATCGGATTCTTTTAATTGAATCAAACGAGCCTTAAATCAAATGAGCAAATACTAAAAACAGACGATGCTTTTAGAGGCTTCATGTTGATGTGAAGATTCGAGACGAGGCAAACATCTGAGTCTTATTTGAGCTACAAAGTGATGAGCAGCATGAAAACATTAAAAATCTCTCGTCCTCTTTCGTCTCATGTGGCAGCGGCTCAGCTCGGCCTCCCTGGCTGCCTCCACTGTTCTTAGCCTCTAATCTCCTCACGCCGTTCAGGCCAACGACTTCACCTGATCAGAGGGATAAGTCCCTCAAGTCACGCAAAAATTAAACAGATTCCTTTACAGTTTTGAATTTCAGTTCACGGGTCGACTTGTCCCTGAACATTTGGAGGACGAGCCTCTCGTTTCTACGTTTCCTAAAACTCAAATCCTCGACCGGTGTGAGCCGGCAGCAGCACCGTCCTTCTTCATACAGCACGTCACCTCAAATTGTGAACCACTGATCAGACTCTGGATCTAAATGACGTCATTGTCATAAGATGCTAACGTTCATATAATCGGAGCAGACACGTCGTCCGTCTTCACAGTCTTCAGTGTCAACAGGCACGTATGCACGTTTTTTTTTTTTCTGCAAACCGCATTTGTCAGCGGGGGGCCGTCTTCACCTCACGCACAACGCAGAGTTAGAGACACTCCACAAGAAAATAAACCACACGTGTTGAACAGCAGCTCAACTCGCATTGATAACCACGAAACTATGTGGTGCGAGCTGTTCGCTGTCTAAAACCAGTCGCTAGAGCAGGTTCCAGGTTTGGTTTAAACCGTTTGAAACCACTGTGTTCATCACGATGTTGTTACGCTGCACGACTTTTATAACATCATGATCACATTTACACCAAAAGCCGTTTCCTCTCTCTCTCTCTCTCTCATGCTCTCTCTCCTTCTCTCTCTCTCTCTCTCATCCATTCGACCCCAGTTCACTGTTTATAACCATAAAAGTCTCGGCAGTCCGGCTCCCTCACTGAGACACATATTCCTCATAGCAAGAACATGACTCATGTGTGTGTGTGTGTGTGTGTGTGTGTGTGTGTGTGTGTGTGTGTGTGTGTGTCTCAGATTTACCTTCAAATAAACATTTCAGACTTGGTTAATGTTGTCAGGTAATCAGTAAACCATGAATGCAGCGTTCAACTCTTTTGAATTAGGATTAAAAATGCATGAATTCATTTGATATAACAAATCAAACTAAATCAATGAGAGTGTTTTAACATGTTTCGATGAATCTTCAGGCTCTTTACAAGGAGGATTTTGAAAAGAACAAGGGGAAAGGTTTCAGCGTGGTGGTCGACACTCCGGAGATGCAGAGGTTGAAGAAGACACAAGACCAGATCAGTAACGTAAGTGCACTGTGAGCAGACGCTCAGACCGGGAGTCACGTCTGCAGGACTGTGAGACCTGACGAGACCTGACGAGACACGAGCAGAGGAGACAAACCACTGTGGACGAAGGGATCAGATCCTGCAGAGACACACAGGAACATTTCAGACATTTCTCCTCGTCCTCTGAGGAGCAGCTGCCCTATATGGTCAAAGCCCCTCCACTGTGGAGACACACACACACACACACACACACACACACACACACACACACACACACACACACACACACAGCAGCAGTTGCAGAAAGGAATGACGGCAATAAGCTCCATGTCGAAAGGGCAAAATCTAGAACTTATTTTTCCACTGGTTGTATCTTTTCTTCCACCTTCATTACTTTCCTGCTCATTTTGTCTTTCTGTCTCCCCCTCCTCCCCTCCCCTCCCTCCTTCTTTTTAGTTTTTTGTATATTTGCCTGTTTTTCCCACCGGCGTCTGTTTCTGTTTGCTCCTCTCGAGGTCGACTGAGGACACAAGGGGCTGCTCTTTGTTTTCCTCTTCCATCCCCTAACAAGCTGCCAGCCTTCTATTCACTTCACAACCTCCGTGTCCCCCTGGTGGATTCACTGTAGACCGCACAAACACAGAGGTTTTCTTTTTTCTGGAAGGTGAAGGAGCAGGTTGATTATTTATCATTATATTCATTAGATGATCCCATAACTGAGCGGTAAACTGCATTCAGGCTGGAGGAGCAGTTTGCAAATTCACAATAAAAGCCCGGACGAATATTCTCAATATTCTCATTAGAACAATTTATCAAATATTAAAGGTCAAAATGTTGGAGCCAAGAAAATGTGGCTTCATTTTTGTAACAATGGGAGGAAGTGGAGACGCATCGTCCATCTTAATTTACAATCAACAAACACACACACACACACACACACACACACACACACACAATCTCTCAGCACCTCCTAAAATGGTGAGCTTCTTCTCACAGGGGCTGAACTTCAGGGTCAGTTGTTAAAATGTGAGTATTGTGCCCTCGTGTGGATTTAATGTGTGTTGCTCTGTGTGTGTGTGTGTGTGTGTGTGTGTGTGTGTGTGTAGATAAAGTACCACGAAGACTTTGAGAAGAGCAAAGTTCGAAGTGACGCCCCCCCTCCTGAGAACAGACAAGGTGACGCACAACCTCACACATTTTAAGTTAGAGTACCGAAATCCACATTGTATATTTGTACTAGTGTGTGTGTGTGTGTGTGTGTGTGTGTGTGTGCAGACTATGAGGGGCAACCCTCCAACCCTGAAAGATTCACGCAGCCAGCAGTGCCCCCTGCTGCTGTAGCACCACCTTGTGGAGGGGTAAGAATATTGCATAAACACAAACTAAATGTCCAAAAGTATGTGGACACCGTGACATTACACATTTAGTGTAATTAAGAATAAAAAGTAATGTTAGACGTGAGAAGAATTCATGAGGACTTTGCATTACATTTCAGTGAGTCTGGTCTTCATCCTCTGTGTGTGTGTGTGTGTGTGTGTGTGTGCACTCAGAAGCGTTACCAGGCCCTGTACAGCTACACAGCAGCTGAAGCAGATGAAGTCTCTCTGCTGGAAGGAGATCTGATCTCAGACGTGGAGCAGATAGACGAGGGATGGATGTTCGGATGCAACCAGCGCACGGGGCAGCGAGGGATGCTCCCCTCCAACTACGTCCGTCCTGTGTGAGACAAAGACATTAGTCGTCCATCTTCAGTCGTCCCCTCCTACGATCAGACCTCTTCGCTAAGTCACTTCTATTTTTTTTTTTCTTCTTAATTTCCCTCTGAACTCACCCGATGGTTTCTGCTTTGCCTTTTTGTGCAAATGTTTGATTGGTTCTCTGACAAAATTTCACTTCGGAGAAACAATGGTACTAAAAGTTGAAGTGAAAATGTGTTTGTGATAGAAACTTACAAAAGAGGAAGTAGGAGCAGAACAAAGGATATGCATTTGCAGAAATAAAAAAAAAAAAATACAAAACCCATTTGTTTATTGTAATACTTCCCAGATGGTGATCAGGTAACATTTACCTTTTTTTTTTTTCTGTCCTTCAACAGTAAAGTGCAGCTTTAGCTTTGCACCAACAGATGCTGTCAATTGTTAAATCCTGTTTTTCACCATCTGCTTTTAAATCCCTAAAAAAAAAAACCACACATTTGATATATTGAAAAAGAGAAACTCACTGTGTGATTGAATCATTTCAAGTTGATTAAATTAAATAAAAAGTGGAATATTTAAACCTTTTAATTTGCTTTTTGAACATTAAGAAAAGTTTTCTCTTTGTGCTTTTGCTCTACATCACGTGACCTCGTGGAAATGAACAAACTGAAATACAACATATCAACACCTTTATTCAAAAACATCAAATCACTACAAGTGAGTAAAATTTGACCGGATCAAACTTTCTGGTTTAAAATAAGACAAAGACTTTATTTACAAACGATATTTTCTCAAGTTAAAACAACGGAACTAACAACATGGTTCTTTTTTTTCTTTTTTTTTTTTTTTAAATCATTAATACAAAAACATTGAGACAAAATGTGATTCTGTAAAACGGTCGTTCTCATCCTGTGAGAACTTTCTCACTGGAGAAGAAGGAAACTCTCTTATCCACTTTGCTCCTCAGTTTTGACGGCAGCCAGTCGAGCTGCTTCGCAAACAGCTGCGGGTTTTTCCCGATGAAGTCCTCACACGATCTAGAGAGAAATCGAGAAAGACATTTTTAAAAACATGAGGAAAAGTGAAGAAACGCAAAATAATTCTATATTTAATAAAAACACGTTTTTAACCATGAACCTGATCTGAACTTGTTTTGTTAAATCAACTCTTTACACAATTATAATCTCAAGTCTCACAAACATGCCACACGTACACAACACAAAGCTCATTAGCATGACACCATGTTGTACTTGAGCAGCCGTGCAGCTCAGAGTATTAATAACAGTAACGGGTCTGTGGGCTTTTGTTAAAACTGCTTATTCATGTGTGACAGGCGGGGACATGCAAAACAAGTCCTCACTGCACGTTATGTACAGAGCACATGCGGCAAACCAGCGCACAACAGCCACAGTGATTTCATACAGACTGTTGAACTACACTGGGACAAAAGTTGGAAACTCAGGCGTCCTGCACCGACTCCTGATTCTTGATCAAACATGAGACGTCGAGACAAACTGGTCGAGACGCTGCTGGAGAGGAAATGTGTAGAAATCATCATCAATCATGGTCGGCCATAACGTTCTTTCTGGACTTCAGTATTCAGACTTCTTGGAATGACACAACAATCCTTTAAAGAAATTAAAATGATAAAATCCCTGATACACACCTTTCCTCCTAAAAATGAGCGAGAAGGCCAAAACAAAACATCAGCACCTCTGTAAATACTGTTGAACACATTTTCTAGAAAACCTTTTTCTTGTGTCTCCAAAAAAGAACTGGGAGAAAAACAAAAGGTTTTTCAGAATTATTGCAGGATTCGGATCTTTTGTTTCCTTTTCTTGCTTTGTTCGCTGCGTTTTTCGATGTCTCACCTGAACAGGGAGTACGGCTGCGTCTGGAAGACGATCACGTCTCTGCAGTGATGTTTGGACACAGCCCTCAGGACGGCCACCTGACGACAGGACGAGAATCACAAACTGAATCTGGGTGTAAACCGCTCGTGGAAAGTTAAATCTGTACGCTGCTTCCAGCTGAAATGACGACAATGAGCGATGCGCTGGAGGGGAAACGTTTCCACAGACATTCGTGGTCTGCAGGGGACGAACCCTACTGACTTGTGATCCCGTCTAACGCCACCTCCATGTTTTTTCAGTTTCTTTCCTCGAGTGAAAATGTTCGTTGTTTACTTCTCTGCTCAGTTGTTGGCTTCACCTGTGAAACCATCGTGTCACCACGTACGTGCGCTGAGCCGCTAAACCACTTAAGATTTATTTATGCAACGGTTTCACTCGATCTATAATTAGTCCACCCGTGAAACTACGGCTGTTTCACGAGATTACAGCAGGAATGTGCGGGTTTCTTTTTCGCCCATGTCTGCAAAATGCTGAGGAAAAAGGAAATACTCTTTCACTGCAGTGTTTCACTTCCACAAACCTCGTCTCAACACAAACCTGTAAAACAGCTTTAATTCTAAGTGTTAGCTGGGAAACATTTGTCTTCACGCACCGAGTCGATGAGGATGCAGAGGTTACTGCTTCCCCCGAACACGACCACGTCACTGTCACTTCCCAGACTCGCTGTGTGACAGACCCTGAGGACCAAGAACAAGCAGGATATCTCACACGGATTCTCAAAATACCACAAGATGCGTACAACTTGTTATTAAAACACAGACGCGCTTCATAAAAAAGGATGAATGAAGGACCTGGGCTTGTCCTCATGTGGATGAGACATCTTCGTCCACTCTCTCTTTACTGTGTTGAGCTGCCAAGCATCATCTGGAGGAAAGAGACAGGAAGTACTACAACTGCAGTACTACAGTTCATGTTCAATATCATACTGCAGTTCTCGTTACTACTTACTGCCACTTAAGTACTAGTTCACCGTCTCACTCAAATTACTTTTACTACATTTTTATTATACAGACCTCATTTATTTTCATTTCTATTTGGCAGTGGTTCTACGTTTACTCTGTATACACACTGTATTTTTAGACTCACTACTAGTAATCACTCATAGTACTTTTACTACCTCATTACTGTAATCTGGAGAAAACTGGCACAAGAATTTCTTTCAGGATTAATTGAGTCTCATAATTATTTTCGTCGAGATCCAAGAATTAGTCTTTAAACCATTAGAGTCAGAGACAGACGTACTGAGAGTGTTTCCGTCTGTGCCGAGGCCTCCGTACACGAAGAGCGCGTGATCCGATATCGCCATCATGCTGTGCATCGAGCGGCCCAGGGGTGAAACGGACAGCGAGATGTCACTGGTGAAAAAGAATTTAAACGCTGTCAGTGAATCTCGAAAGAAAAGAAATCAAACATTAAAAAAAAAAAAAAAAAAAGGGAAAGTGAACCAAGTTTTACATTTTAGTCCACGTCCACGTGTCCAGGTCCAAACAGAACATGTCCAACTCTGCTGTCTCCTGTAAACCATCACACACACTCGGCTTTAGGTAATGAAAGTGTAACATGTAATACAAGCGTGTCTCGGAAACTGTGGTTACACGGTAGCAAACACTACAAGGCCAAAAGTATGCAGACACTCTTGTGGTTTCATGTGGTCCACCAGATGGATTAACGATTCTGTTCATGGGGCTGTGGAAAGGGAAGGGCCTCCGACAAACTGTGAGCAGTTAGCAGCACACTGTTGTCTAGAAATGAAAACAAAAATCATAATATTTTCCTTTTGTGGAACCGAGGCCCCATGAGAAATGACATCGGAGGTCACGTGACCTGTCACTTGATGTGTCTGTTTACTTTTGGCCGGATGAGCTTCTAGACTCACCACGCCTCCAGAGATGTAACCCTTGCTCCCCAGCAGGGCACTGGCATGGCAACCTCTGGGAGCCGGAGCCGGACCCTGCACGTTAAAAAATTTAAAAAAAAAAAATCACATGACGGCATTTTCACACCTGAAAATCTGAGCCAGCTTCGACTTTGATCTGTTTGATCTGGTTAGTTTTGGTTTCACATGAATTTAGGGAGCGCACTAAGACCATCTTTGTGTGCAACTGAACATTTGAAGTAACTTAGTTAAACTCACCTGAGTCTCTGGCATGGTCCATGTCGCGGTGTGTGTGTCAAAGACATTGACCTCATTGTTCCAGCCCCAGCACCTGAACAACGTGTCTCCAATCATCGTCTTGGGGTAAAGTACTTTGTTATTGTTGGTTTTTGTACTCGTGTATGCAGTTATTGTTGTTGTGATTACTATTAACAGTATTTACCCAGGACATCTCTTCCACGATGAAGCTGGACGACGATGTGTTCCGAACATCCCCGATGGTTTTACATCCATATCCACCAAAGTAAATTAATCTGCACCGAGACAAAGAGAAAAAACAGAGTTCTCCTCATTAATTCACACGAGAAACGACAGAAACCTGGAAGCAAAAGAGTGAATTCAAGAAAAACTAGAAGTAACACCCAGTGGTTGTTTGCCTCCACCGTCCAGAGTCACCTTGACCACGAAAATCTAATCAGCTCATCCTAAAGTCCAACTGAACGTTTGAAGAACTTCCCTCAAGGTGTTCCTGAGATATCGTGTTCACAATAATCAGAAAACATAAAGCCTCAGGGCGTCTCTGCAGAGCAATAATATCACTTTCGGAACATTAGCTTCCATTTGAATCAAGTTGTGTCAATACTCAATTTTCTTAAAGTTCTCAGAACACATGCTGCGTGAACTTTAATAAACGGCAGAGTCCTTCAGGGCGGCCGGGTGTGGACGGCTGCTCTTCTTCGTGAGCTGTGTTGTGGATTTGACTGAACGGACCTGTCTCTGTGAACCCAGCAGGAATGTTTGTTCCGTGGCGACGGCGTCGTTCCCCGGGTGTCGGTCACTTTCTTCCACGAGCAGCACGACTCCGACAGGTCAACGCTGAACATCTACAAAGAACGGGGGGGGGGTTACATTTATCCGATCATGCAGAGGCGGAGCAAATGACATTTCTTTAAAAAGGTATTTAATATATTTAAGCAGATTTTTTCCAACACCAGATCTTCAAATATCTCATCATGTCTCATGATGATCGTAAATGTCGTCAACAGGTCAAGCTCACTTGTCTGTGGCAGACCTGCCAGGAGCGTTTCACAAACTTTGGAGGCCCAAGACAAAAGGGACCCGGGGGGGCCCCGTGTTGAACCAAAATATCCCTGTCGTGTTTTTGTGCTCATAAACTCGTCTCACAGCATTTCAATGTTACTTTGACATGTGGAAAATACATGAACTCCAGAACTTGCTGTAACATGATATCGGTGAGACAGACAAACGATGGCTGCAGGGATTCCAGGCTGAGCCTCTCGGGTTTCACTGTGACAGAGTCGGAGCTAATCTGACTGACGATCTCTGGAAATCAAGTTTGTTCATCAGCTTTCTGTCTGAAATGAATTCTTTTAAAACATCTGGAGGGAAAACATTCCCTGTAACGCGTCACCAGAAGAAACGCTCGCAAAGATCTGGCTCGTACCACGTGAGGGAGAAAAGCTCCGGATAAAGTCAAGTACGGAAGTTTTCACTTTACTCAAACTGCAGCGAACGACTGCGATCCCAAAACAAACAGCTGACAGGCAAACGTTCCTCCTCCGCCACGTGTTGTTTGAAGATAAACAAAGCTACGGTTAAAGAGGATGTGACTACACAACCTGACTTGTTGTTCACTCTGTGAGAATCTCACCTGGTTGCTGTGTGCGACGGCGTCACATCCTCCGAAAATGTAGAGTGTGCTGTTGACGTTGGAGCCACAGAAGCCCAACAAGTCCGGAGGGAGGTGGCCGCCGATCTCCCTCCGCTCCCTGTCACAGAGGAGGTGAAGAGAGGAGCAGAGTAAAAACTCACGGAACACACTGACGCCTTCTCTTTATCATTTTATCTCCTAAACCGTCGTCTTTGCTCTTAATCAATCAATTTATCTTCTAAACAACTCTTATCAGAAAAACATTCCACATCTGACACGTGTTCGTCGTCTCCGCTGATAAACTCAGCCGTCTCTTTATCTCACCACGTCCCGCTGTTTAAATCCCAGAGCCATATCTCATCACTGGGCAACGTGACCTCCTCGCCGGAGACGACCTGCGAGGGAACGGACGAGATAAAGTCGTGTTTGAAGACTCGGTTCGTGTTTGTCACAGAAAAAAACATGCAGGCTGGTTGAAGGCTGATGGAAACGAAAATCTGACAATAACCGTTGACATTTGTGTCCATAGCAACAATCAGGGTCACCGCCATGTTTCAACAGCTTCAATGAGCCACTGCATCGTTTTGATTCCCCTCAAACCTTCGTGTGACCCCCTCGTACCAACTGGTGGAGGAAGCACCAAACATTTGCTGCTGTAATTTAAACTGGTTTAGAGGTTAATACTTTTAAAAAAACATATCCAGATGTATATATTCAGCATTGGGTCGTGTATTTTCTGTATTTTTTCATATGTCAAGTCAATGTAATTTAACCACTCGAGTACATTAAGATGTTTGACTTGATAATCCTGCAATAAAAAAAACTATGATTTTCTGTTCCATTAACTTACATATTAAAACTTTTAGTTTAAAGTGACTATTTGTTTTGGTTTTTACATAGAATTCAAAGTAACATGAGATAATTTAGTCTTTAGGGGCCGGAACACAGAAGCAGATGACGGGGCTCCAGGTGACCCAGGTTAACTCAGGTTAACACAGTAACTCAGGTAAACTCCAATATTACAGGTTAACTCAGGTTAACACAGTAACTCAGGTAAACTCAAATATTACAGGTTAACACATGTGACTCAGGTAAATAACTCAGGTGACTCAGGTTAATTCAGGTATCTCAGGTAAACTCCAATATTACAGGTTAACTCAGGTTAACACATGTGACTCAGGTTAATAACTCAGGTGACTCAGGTTAATTCAGGTATCTCAGGTGACTCAGGTAACCCTCTCACCTGGTATCCTCCCCACACGTACAGCCGGTGGTTGTGGGTAAACGCCGTGTGGCTGCTCCTCTCCAGCGGACTCACCGGCGCGTCTCCCCCCGCTGCAGCAGCATCCATCACCCGCTCCGGTTAAAAACTTCCGTTTAAAATGGTTTCCCGTTTATCAGAGAGAGAGAGAGAGGGAGAGAAGGAGAGGGAGAGAGAGAAGGACAGAGAGAGAGAGGGAGGGACTCGACCTGCTGCTGCTCCTCCGGCTGCAGGAGCGACAGAGACTTCACTGATGAACGTGTTTTTCAGGCTCCTCTCCTCTCACTCCTCTCTTACTCCTCCCATCATCACGGCCTCCTCACTGGAGCAGGTTCGCTTTCTCCAGAAAACCGAGTTGCACTGGAGGGGGGGGAGGGGAGGGGGGAGGGGGGAGGCTTCTGATTGATCAGGAACAGGTGAGAGTGGTTGATGGTGACGTCACGTGACTAGAAGCACCTGCAACGTGCGGAACATCATGGGCGGGTTTGAAGACGACAGGTCCCTGGGCACCCACGTCTTAAACGCCCCCCCCCCCCGAGATTTTTTATATTTAGTGAATAAAATCGTAATGCCGAGAAAATTTGAGAATGAAAATGAAACGTCAACACCGGAGCGTGGACGCAACAAACTGAGAAGACGTCACATTCATGACACACAAAAGATAAAGTGACACACACTGACATTTATTCCTTAATATCATTTATACAGCAAATACTCGATGAGATGAAAATAAAAAAATACAAACCAGGAAAAACAGTGTTGCAGAATTCTGTTTCCTGCAAATATCAAAATGGATTTGATGAGTAAACCGTCACTGACTTCTGTTCTCTCCGAACACATTATTATGTGACTCTGCGACTTCCTCTCTACGTCAGAGTCAAATATTCAGGAGACCAAACTAAAACCGAGCAACACGGGAAAATGTCACAAGACAGCTCCGTGGTGTCATTTCATATACTCAAGGACATTGTGACTAAACTGTGGTCGAAATATCCGTCTAACAGTCAGCGCTAAGTGCAAATATGCGAAATGAGATCCAGTGATTTAAATCTCAAAAGAATCTGAATTTGCACCAACAAAAGGTTTTTATGCCAGATGTTAATAATTCATTTAAATCAGCGAATTTGGAACAAGCAGCATAATAAATCTATTTTCAATCTCTCCTCTAAACCTCTCTAACCAATATATTATCTTCCTGGCGACAGATGTGTAATGCAGCAGTGTAATTCCATCAAATGGCAATCCAGAAAATAAAAAGCCTACGTGATTATTTTTGGCCCTAACAGTAGTGTAAAGCTTGAATTAAGAAGAAGGCACGATCGAGATGAGTTGATTCAAACAGGTCGAGTGCTGTTTTCCTTATTTTGCATGAGCAGAACGCGACCTGCTGCTGTGCTGTGCTGAAAATGCGTCTTTCAGAGCATCTGTGGTAAACATGATGGGTCAACAATGTTTGTTTTTTTTTTTTCAAACACTAAGACAGAGGAAATAAAAATTGCAGCAGAAACGATTCTTGGCAGCGTCCGTCACCGTCCTTCTTTTGATGCCGCGGCTGAATCAGAATTCAGAGAGGTATTGAAGTCAGTAACATTTGGCTGCATCGCGTCAGCATCCCGAGGCTCAGTGGCCACATTCACTCCCGGTACCAACGTCCGTCCTGAGAGATCCGATCACGAGTGGTCAGCTTCGAGTATTAATGCTGGTAAACCCTCGTTAGCTCAGTTCGTTGAGATCAGATGACGCTGTTTTCTCTCAGTTTACAGATGTGAGAGTTGACGAGAGATGTTCGGATTCCATTTTTTCCTTTACCGATTCCGATACCTGGAATTTAGAAAAATAAATAAATACGTATTGCATATTTGAACAGCTTAATGCTAGTAACCCGGTATGGAAGTGGTTCTTTTAATGCTTTATGAGTTTCTCTCTACTGACGACTGTGTGTGTCTGAATCAGCAAAAATAAAAGAGAGAAAGAGAAAGAGAGAGAGTCAGCGGAGGCTGAGCGAATCGATGAGAAGAGTAAAAATACATTTGATTCATTGTGAAACTGCGGCGGGTCCGTGTTCCCACAGCCAACAGAATGTGAGCACATGCATCCCACAGCACTTGTGATTGGATCTCTCAGGTCAATGTCCCCGTCAATGAGACTCCTGTGGCACTGAGGCTCCGACTCCACCCTTGGCCTTAAGGTCAGTTGGAGCAGGTTAATCACACTCATAATTGCACTTGAGGTTACTTCATGTCAAAGCTAGATTTAGTTTAGTTTTATTTTTCTCCCCACAAGCGGCCGTCTAGCTTCCTGAAAGAGTCAGCCCGTCGCCGTCGTGCTCGCTGCGCTCAGTCCTGAAGATCCCTCTCCCGGTATTTCTGCATTCGCTGACAGCGAGGACACGAGACACCCGGAGCTTTACAAGCCAGGTGAAACACAGCTTTACAATCTTTACACCTGGGTCAGAGACAGGGAGAAAAGGAAAGCATGAAAAAAGAATTGTTGAACTGAAGGTGAAGAAACAAACACACACCGGACTTTACTTTCTTCTTGGAATGATTAAATGTCTGTTGATCTTGAAGACAGATGTAGAGAACGAATTCAAATTTGTGACCATATGTTTAAGTCTCTGATTCTCAACCTGAGGTTCCATTTGCATTTTAATTTTTCCAAAGTTGAAACAAAACCTGGATGTTTTAATGCCGAGCCCTGTAAGGTTCTGGTGCCCATAAACTGGTACTACACGGTGGGATGAATGAATAAAGGTGTGGAAACAGAGGAGGGAGGGTTAGGACCAATTACCTGGTGGTGCTGTCGAACTGGAAGGGGAAGATGGTGTCATCGGCGTGGCAAATCTGGCAGATGAAGCCGCGCTGCGTGCACAGGTCGCACTGAAACACGTGGCTGGAGGCAAACTGCAGCAGTGTCAACAGGTAGATTGCGTATCGGCCGTCTGCGATCTAGAAAAAACCCACAGCGGACAGGTGAGTATTGAGACGTTTCAAAGGGACAGATGTCAACAAACATATCGAGGCGTCAGGATACCTCCTGCAGATCTACGACACTGTACAGGTGGCTCGACTCCAGCAAGTACGTTCGCTGCCCCATTCTGGAGAGAAAAGTGAGAAAAAACCTTTTTAAATGAATAAAAATGAAATAACATTATGTCATCATAAAATAGTGGGACATATGAAAGGGTCAACAAGGTTTTAAGACCTTTTAAATCATACAGGAGGGACAATATAATTATTTGTCAGAAGTTTATAACAAAAATTCCTTTACATAAAATGATTTTCTTAATGTGACCTGATGTTAAATGATCCAGGGATTCATTCACAAGTTAAAAAACTATTTATTTAAGTTGAGGTTTTTACTAAAGCTGAGAATCTGTAACAGTCTGATGATTCTCAATCTCACGATCCCACCTTCTGTTAGAAGTCAATAATAATTCACATTTGAGACAAAGATATATAAATACATGAAATGAATGAAAACTGAATGATCTGTTTTTTTAAGACTGTGTCACGGCTGCAGATTCCCTGTAGAGAACACACACACACACTCTCACACACACATACCTGGCCTGCAGTTTCTTGTAGGCTCCGCTGCGGCAGGTGAGCAGGTAGTCGCCGAGGAGACGCAGTCTCTGCCGCAGGTTGTGCGCCTGAGCCATGGACTCTGAGTGCTTCACTAACTCAGGGTTTAACTGCTCCAGGTTGAGCAGAGGCTCGTATTCGACCTGAGCCAGCAGCTGCAGGGCCTTCTTAGACACCTGGAGACACACACACACACACACACACACACACAGCATGTAGGTCCCGCTCAGTCAGAACATGTGGATTCATGTTCTGTGCGATTACCACAGAAAAACTAAAAGACAGAACTGGCCTCAGTTATTAAAACAGTCTTTAAAGTGATGCAGAGGTTGTTTTAAAAGAGAACTTCAGAGGATTCTGCTCTTACAAGACTTTCAGATCAAATCAGAACATCCGTCCTTTCATTCATTTTCTTCCGCTTATCAGAGATTTTGTCCAGAGGCAGTGCGCTTGTTTTTAAGTTCCTCCTACAACATCCTGAGGTGTTCCGAGGTCAGATTGGATACGTCGTCCCTCCAGAGAAGTAAACATCCCAGACGACATCCTGATTCGACGCCTAAACCATCTTAAATAGCTCCCTTGCCACAATGGTCCTCCACTGACCCACCAACAATCCTGTGCTCCATATTCCCCTCACTCATGAAAAAAGCCCGAGACACATGCGTGTGGTTAGAACGTGATGTGTAAGTCTGCCACCCACCTCTCGTTGTGTGAGGTCCCAGTTGTGCACTATGCGTGAGGGGATGATGGTGATGTCACCGTGGTGACAGGACTCACAGTAGTACTGGCCTGAGAACTCACACAACCTGGCTCTGCCCAGGGACGGACCAATCTGCTGAGAACATCCTGTGTGTGACAAACACTAATCAGATCTCAGCCTCTGATTCAGGGATTACAGATCACAGCCGAGTTTCATCGATGAAAACAACACTGAAAATAATAATGAAGGAAATTTAGCACGTGTTTGCGGAGCAGGAAGAAGAAGAGGAGGAGGAGGAAGAAGAAGAGGAGGAGGAGGAAGAAGAGGAGGAAAACAGTGATGCTTTTTTAAAATGTTACCTGCACATTTGAAGCTCTGAGAGTCCAGACCCTTCTCCGAGGGTACGGTGCAAAGATGAACTAAAAGGGCTCCATCTTCCTTCAGCCTGTGCTGCACCAGCCTGTGGAGATTCCCAGTCACCCCCAGGCGTACTGCAGCGGGCTCCTCGCAGCCATCGTCCTCCCCACTCTCCAGGTAAGAGTCCAGAGCTCCACGGATCAAAACCCTCCAAGAGCGAGCCTCCTCTGCGCTCTCTGCCCTGAGTCTCAGCGCATCCCTCACGGTCAAGAGTTTGAAAAAGGCCGGACCTCCAAGGGAGACGTCAGGCACCACATCCCGAATTTCCTCAATGGTGTGGTTTAGCTGCTGAAACTTCCTCCCGCCTTGCACCCGAAAGCCTTTCAGGGCCTCTAAGGAGAGGGAGAAGATCAGAGGTACCCATGTCCGAGCTTCAGCATCTGTGGAGACGTACAAAACTGCTTCTTTGATGGCGTCCGTTTCTAAATCAGTCGTCCGAGTCCAGTCGAACTCCTGCAGAGGAGGAGGTGCCTCCAGCCCTCCGCAACTATTATTGTCCATGTGTACTAACCCTCTTTCAGGGCTGGAGGGGGTGGAGGACGCGGATGAAAGTGTGCGTTCATCTGCACCATTCTCACTGCACGGTTGTAGCACCTCCCACTGCTCATCGGCACGAGGCGCTGGCCGGCATTTGTTGACGGCCTCCGCGATCCGGTCCACCCAGTCCTCAGCTTCACCACGATTGGCCGCTCGGAGGTAGAGTCGCTTCCCAGGAAAGGTCAACTCGAAGCGACCCTCGGGTAAGGTGACACGAGCGTCCTCACACCGTACCAGGGTGCAGTTGTCACAACAGTCCCGCTCCTCAGCGTTGAAATACAGGCGGAACTCAAAGGGGGACAGCTCGCAGTAATAGTCTCGCCACAACCCCATTGCACCTCGTCTCTCGAGATGTCCGAGCTTCAGCAAACCACGAAACGGGTTGGACAGTCCTGACAGACACACACAGACGGACAGACACAGTTAAAGGACAAACAGCAGCAGCTATTACACATGATCTCAGCATGATCGTCAAATAGGAGCAGATTTCAGTCAATTCTTCAATCTGATACTCCGTGTGATGATTATACATAAAAACAAATGCACTAGTTTCAGTTCTCCACTTGTAGAGTACCTATTTGTCTGCGATGGACGACACTGGGAGGGGACTGAGAGACCTTGGGCTCAGGCGTAACGGCAGGTGGAGGCACCTCGTCGTGATCAGACACCTCCTCCAGCTGGGGCTTGTAGATGTCATCCTCCGAGATCCAGGAACGGGAATGCTGCGATGTTAAAGACAAAAGCTTGAATCGTATATACACAAGGAAATAAAATCAGATTTACCTGCCAACGGTCCCGATGCTAGAAAACATCCAAGCTGAGTCTATTCAGTGAGTGTTTCCTGTTTTAATTGATGAACAATTAATAAAAGGATTAAACCTGGATGAATGTAATTTTAAACATTTTCATCCTGGCGACTAAATTGAACTGAACTGGCATCGTGTGGTAACTGCAGTAAGTACTACATTGTGAAAATGTTGTGACATATCCTGGAGCTCTGAACTCTGTGCCACAACCTCGTGCTCTAAAAGTCTACAGTTCCCAAAACCACACGAGCGAAAAGAAATGACGGCGACACATTTTTCCTTTTTCCACTGGAAGAGTCAGACATTCTATCCGTCAGTTCCTCAGTGGGAAATCCCAACTAGCAACAGGCGTGACAGCAAGTCTCCATCTGTTGAATGTTGAAAGTTTCCTTGTTCATTAAGTTCAAGTATACTTCATTTTTGGCCATAATGGTTTTACATCTTTGGA